CGCCCGGCGGCAGCGATCCATCGACGACTACGGCCAAAACATCAAGGAGTTGGCGGGGAGGGCTCAGCAGCTGCTCTCCGCCGGCCACCCCGAGGGGTAGGTGCCACCCAACACGTGTCTCCCGGCTTGGGGCTGTCCCCGTGCCCTCAGCACCTTGGCAGCTTTACGGTTAGGTGAGGTTTAGGCGCTGCTGAAGCTCTGGTGCTGTTTGGTGCCATGGTGCCTTGGTCGGGCTGGTGGCACCACTAGACCGTGGCTCTGCTGGTCACCCTGGGCTCTGAGATGCCGGCCTGGGGGTGTAGGCGGGGATGCGAGTTGCTCATTGCTGGCAGCCCAGAACTTAGCTTCGGTGGGTTTTCTTGCCAGAAATCCCATTTGCTGCGTTGAATGCCCAGTAAATGATCCATAGGCAGGTTGCTGGACCTGGCTGGGGACTGAACTGTGGGAAGTGGCTTCTCTACTGGGAAACGTTTCGTTGATGGCCAGGTGTCCCAGCCCGTGGGCCAGTCCCCAGCATCAGCGACAGCTTTGCATTTTGGGGAAAACAAATCCATTTAGTGCACTTTTCTCGTGGTGGGGTGGGGGCCCACTGGGCAGCTCCCCCGGCAAGGAGCGGGCACCGCGGGTGGCCCGGGGCCGTGCCGGGTGAGAACTGGGGTGTCTGTGTGCCTGGGGCCGTGCAGGGAGCAGATCATCCGGCTGCAGGGCCAAGTGGACAAACACTACGCGAGGCTGAAGGAGGCGGCCGAGGAACGCCGGCGGAGGCTGGAGAACATGTGCCACCTCTTCCAGCTGAAGCGCGAGGTGGAGGACCTGGAGCAGTGGATCGCCGAGCGTGACGTGGTGGCCTCCTCCCAGGAGATGGGGCAGGACTTCGACCATGCCACAGTGAGCCTACCAACAGCTCCCAGGGCTGGCGTGCAGCAGGAGCCCGGGCGGGAGATGCAGGGCATGGTGTCACGCCAGGGGCCAGCACGCACCCTCGGGTGACAGGTGGATCTCTCTCCCCCCACCAGCTGCTGCGGGAGAAGTTTCGGGAGTTTGCGTGGGAGACGGGCAGCGTGGGGCAGGAGCGCGTGGACCGGGTGAACCTGACCATTGAAGACCTCATCGACGCGGGGCACGCAGAGGCTGCCACTATGGCCGAGTGGAAGGACGGGCTGAACGAGAGCTGGGCTGACCTGCTGGAGCTCATCGACACGCGCAGGCAGCTTCTCACCGCCTCCCACGACCTGCACAAGTACTTCTACGATGCTGCCGAGATCCTCGCCCTCATCGCAGACAAGCAGAAGGAGCTGCCCCAGGACTTGGGCTGTGACACCAGCACGGCCAAGGCTTTCCACCGCATGCACACCGCCTTCGAGCGGGACATCCAGCTGCTGGAGGCGCAGGTAAAGCTGAGGCAGGCTCTGTGGCTGGGATGGTAAAGAGGGGACCCCAGGCAAGCGGGATGCGGGGAGGACGGGATGCTCTGGAGGGCTCCCCGAACTCCAGGCAGCCCCCTGACGCTCTCCATCTCTGCGGGGCAGGTGCAGCAGTTTCGGGAGGTGGCGGCCCGGCTGCAGACGGCGTACGCTGGGGAGAAGGCTGACAGCATCCAGCAGAAAGAGCAGGAGGTGGTGAGGGCCCTGCGAGCACTGCTGGAGGCGTGCAGCGGGCGGCGCGCCCAGCTCCTGGACACGGCCGAGAAGTTCCGCTTCTTTAGCATGGTGCGGGACCTCCTCTCCTGGATGGAGAGCGTTGTCCGGCAGATTGAGACGCAGGAGAAGCCCAGGTAATGCCGCTCGCAGCGGGCATCCAGCTCCGGGGCCCTGCCTGGCAGTGTCTGGTGTTGACATGGGCACCTCTCCTTCCCTAGGGACGTCTCATCCGTGGAGCTGCTCATGAAGTACCACCAGGGCATCAAGGCAGAGATCGACACACGTGACAAGAGCTTCACCACTTGCATCGACTTGGGCAAGAAGCTGCTGCAGCGCAAGCACCACGAGGCGCCCGAGGTGAGGGTGGCTGCGGCTCGGGGCAGCCTCCA